GATAAAAATTTTTTGACTGCGGATTATTGTTTATTGATGTATCCCAACATTACATGAATTTTTTCATTCCTTAATATTTACATTTAATATGTTTAAATAATTTTTGTTGTTTTCATGTCAGAGTGACGAAAGGCGCGCGGAAGCCAGACTACCCGCTTTTGGCTCTATTTTCAGGGCTTTGTAAAAATTATAAATAATCGAGATACAGTTTCGGAAGTTGAAACTTTTGTAATTTTTATCGGCGCGTTTTCGGAACTTTCCTTAAACTTTCTATGGCAAAAATACGAATCGAATGACACCTTGGTCGTAATTTTTGAACAAGGCTGAAAAATGTCACCAAAAAGAGATAAATCGAGTACATGTGAACCAGACTATCTAGCAAACTTTGCCTTATTGTTATTATTCCAGAATTAGAAAAGGAATCTTGACCTAATTAATCAATGTTGGATTTTATCATTAGATGTCTTAACATGTATTTATATTTTGTAAACTTCTTATTTCAGTCGTATAAACATTCCCCCATTTTTGATGAGCAGAAAGTAATTGATTGAATATTTTTGTCATGATTACAGGAAATAGCGTATGCTATGTGGCATGGAAAGTTATTTCCAATCGATGAAAATAGAAACGAATTTTGTTCCAGTACCTTATTTGGGATCTTATTCTGTTATTCAATAAGCGCCCTGATTTTCGGACCGCACTACTCTATGTTGGATCCGGTGAGTAAAATAAAATATTCAGTAGTTTTCATTGAGAAGCAGTATTCATATCATATTTTGCCTCTGGCTTCTTCTCGTCCTTTGAGAAATGGAATTTTGGAACATTTATCTTTCTTGACGCTTCTATAAGGTGAGTTTTTGAATGTTTGCCGGAAAATGACTACTTCTTTGGCCTACACCACGATGGACATTGAATTATCTGCAAGCGACAGTCATGCTGACGATAGTCTCGCAGATGTCGTTCATCTATATGTATTTTTTGGGTCACTATAGAACATGTTGGGAAGGTTATAAATACTTATTCGCTGGCGATAATTATTGTCTATTTTATTTTCACAATTTGATCTGAAATTTTGATATTCTTTTAACTCACTCATCCTAATATATCGGTCTAGTTATTTTCAGTATTTCTAATAATTTTAGTATAACATATATGTAAGAATTTGGAGTTATCTTCATTTATCTTGTAGTTATCGTGTTCATGCAGTCTTATTTATGTAATAAAGGGAGAAAAATTAATCTGTTGGAGGCCATGGAAATTAACACATCAATTAAAAACCAGAAACATATATCCCTAAACGAGCAACTTGATTTATGTAGGTCTACTCTCTTGAATTTATGAGTTTAACAACCCCTAGAATTTTCAGGACGGTATTTTAAGTTGGCATCCTGTCTCTCAAACACCTGTCCGTGCAGCATACCTGAAAATTCTAATAAAATAGATATTTCAAAATTCAGATTTCAGTTTCGTACTTGATAATGGGGTCAAACCTGAAACCGGTCGTATAAAGTGAATTTACCAGTGGTGAATTTATGGATATAGCCGTTACTATGTGTTAGGTGATAAAAGTGGTAAAAAACATAGAAATTTTCATTTCTCAATAAACAATAAACTCATTGTTAAAGTTTGAAAATGTCCATATAGGACGAAACTGCAGTAACGTTAGTTACAAATAAAAGTGCTAAAAACATAGAAATTTTCATTTCTCTTTCCATTATNCGGAAGTAATTTTATTAATTTCATTTAAGTAATCATGAATTACCATAAAGTAAACAAGTCATCAATTACACATAACAGAATTTTCCTTCAAAATACTGGATTTATTATCAATGATGATAATAATAATACATGGTTTCATTGAAGGGTTACTCAGAACAAGAGATATCAACCTAATCTATCAAATGGCAAAATTCAACACTTGCACATGATAACACAGGCCAACAAAAAAATGTTTTTGAAAACCTCGTTTACTTTAATAGCTGGTTTTTATAGATTTTTGTGTGCTGAATCCAAATCTGGTCTCAGTTTTTTCGTATCACCAATAGTTTTCGAGAAATTGACATTTTTATATAATTCAAAATCTGTATGGTGTATGGTAAAATTAATGAAACACTATGTTAAATCACTATCATGGTTTTAATTTACAGTAAGGTATTCGAAATAATGATACAGTGTTGTAATGTAGGTTTCACCAGTCAGATGGAATTGGTTTATACTTCCTTTTTCATTTTTATTTGAAGTTTCTTGTGTAGCTCTTTCTGCGATGAGTCGCTTGTTGAGCTTCCCGGTGAAGTGACCAACAGTAGTCTCCCATCATGTTGATGTTCCAACGGCCCTGGTAATGTTTTTCCATCAATTTAATATCTTGGTGAAAACGCCCACTCTGCTCCTCACTAACATCTCCCAAATTTTCCGGGAAGTAATCAAGATCACTGTTCAAGAAGTGGACTTTCAGGCTCATCAAACATCCTTGTTTCTTAGTTTTCGTTTTTAGTTTCAAAGACTCCCTCACAGGCCAGTTCTTTCTGCACTAATGTTGATCCCTTGCTCTACTGTCCCATTCACACAAAAAACATGGAAATTTGGTAAAACCACCTTGGTGACCAAGAAACACGCATGTTTATTTCAAGTCACTACATAATATCATCCAACCATGAGCCAAATAGCCAATTTTATTCAACACTATTTCTAGGTTTTCATAGGTCTCTTTCATATGTACTGAATGGTCAACAGGTATAGATGCATAAGTGTTACTATTGTGTAATAAATCGGCTTTTGAACTAGTTTTGGAAGAATCAATAAACAGCCTCCACTCTTTTTTTTGTATTCAACACCAAACTCTTGGATCAGACCTGGAATGTCTGAGTAGTACACTAAATCACCTTCTTGTTCAGAAAATTTCGAAAACTGCTGCTCTCTCTTCCTATACACATACTTATATGCTAGTTTCAACTGCTAACAAGTTCTTTACATTTAGTCAAGAACCAAGCAATTCAGCTTTTTTTTTGTTAATCCAAGATCCCTAACTAAGTAAACAGTTTAGGCTCTATATTTGCTGTAGTACATTGGAACTCTTCATCATCTTGCTAATCTATATCTGACAGTACATCAAAAAACATTTCAGTTTGAACAGAATTCAAATCATCTGGAAGTTCTGGGACCGGCAAATCTACATCGTGCCCTACTGGTCGGATGGCGGAAATTAGGTTAGGGTAGCTTATTA